TTCCCATCCGTGGGTTTATATCCAGCAAATCTAATGGGCAATTAACTAGCTCAGTTACTTAAACACCAGTAGTTAGTTCTGTTGAAATTTTTTCACCGTGATCATTTTTCATTATAAATATATTATATTGGCGTGAAATGTGGGATTAGGGTTAGTAATGATCACTGGATCGACAAATATGTTGCTAAAAATCATGAAAGGCATACCCATTGGCCATCGACTGTCATCGGCGGTAACCATATCGACGCCGTCGTACAGATTCCGTGCGAACTCATCGGTGGTGTCCGACAGCGGAAACCGACCGGACATACCGCTGATCACCACATCCTTTGCCGACATATTTATTCAATTTTGTTATTAAACACTTGATGAGATTTTTGTTAAAAACTTTTGACTCATTTGATAAAACTTTTCATTAAATTGTAAAAATGATTCATGTTAGCTGGCTTATATACAGTAGGCATAGTGCCCAGTTCAACAAATTATACAAAAACTAAAACATTTATTATGCTTTTATATATGTTTTATATAATTCACCAGTACGTACAGTTGTACTTAATAAACTGTACGTCCCTATTAAAATATACAATGTCCGTTCATGTGTACCTGATTTCATGTGCATGTACAGTCAAAAATAATTATAATTGTAATTTAAATTATTATAATTATAAATAGTTATAATTAATCGTAATAAATGTGAATCATAATACAATTTTGTGTCCACAAATAAACATTATCGACTGTACATACACATGAAATCAGGTACACATGAACGGGCATTGTATATTTTAATAGGTTAATAGCCAGTATGATGCTGACAAATATTAATAGGTTTGTTTTTCAAAGTAAGAATTTTATCTATTAAAATATCATTGATACAATAATAATAATAATTCATTAATACGTGAGTTAATTTTAGAAATGTACCTTTTTATCATTCAATATTGAACCCCGTGATTTATTGAATTTTAAAAATTAGAGTGCATTGGTCCATTAACTCAGTAATTGATAAATATATATATAATTTTACCTATTAATTCGTGCATGTTCACACACCGATTTTAACAAATGTTTTTACTTTTAACTAAGTTATTTAATTTTGTGTAAATATTTGTGACATTGGTCATAGAAAACTTAAGTTGTATTTTATTTTAAAAAAATATAACAAAGTTTTCTACAATTTGTCACATAAATATATACAATAATATAAATATATAATAGATTTTATATTGATAAAAATATTGCGCTGGTCTTAGCCTTAACTCCGAGAAAATATAATTAAAAATAGGAAATATGATGAATTTAATTACAATTTTACTAATCTCATTAAACTAGTCCTAATAATTATAATCATCTAATAGCTGAAAATGTAATTTAAAATCTATTTACGTATGACATTCTCACTTTGATTTTGTGGTTTAATTATAAAGTATATTAACTCTTATACGTGTTTGCAATTATTTTTACTATTTACTGCAAGCTTTAACGTAGATTTTCACCTTAGGCATTTAGTAAAGCCATAACTTATAATTACGATATTAATAGGTGCCCTATGAAGGACATATTTGCGCGTAGGTATCTGTCAGTGTGTGTGTTTGTGTGTGTGTGTGTGTGTGTGTGTGTGTGAGAGAGAGAGAGAGAGAGAGAGAGAGAGAGAGAGAGA